TTTTCGGAGCGATAAATGTAGTTGCCAAAGACATAGAGTTCATCGTTTGTGTGTGGGCTGTGATACTGCCCGGGTGCCCAAACCGAAGCAGGTGGTTTTCTTAGGGAGCCACACCCCGAGCCTTTGACCTAAAGGTCTAACCCACAAGGCAGTGGAGCATCGTAAGGAGATGCAATCCCATGGTAGCCGGTGACCAAAGATTGGTTCATACGCCATTTGTTCCCGCAGGATACTGGAGCCTATGTGCACCATTGATTTGGAATCCGGTTAAAGCGCCGGACATTCGCTTTTCGTCCTCTCATTTTTGTAAACAACACCCCCGCCACGAGAAGTCAATGAGTAGGACTTCCCTGGCAGAGGCTGTATACGCGCGGCCGTGTGAGAGTATTTCGAGGAGAGCGGACTCACCCCACTCTCGGCCGTACCAGGGCATTCGGGGGCCATACATTACAAGATAGCGATAAGTATGTTTGGTGTTTATTTCTAAACTGTACATCTATCACTGACCATATTTCATGATCACTGTCATTAAACAATTTCATCAGCAATAACATCGATAGAAAGATAGGTAAGTGTCTGAGCTTTTAGTTGCCCGCAAAACAGCAGTATACAGTCTTAGAAGATGAGTGTTCTGTGTCTCAATTAAATGCAGCTGGCTGTGGACAAATGTTAAGAATCTTTTTGACAACTGGGACTTTTAGTTTATCATACACTTACTCTGCTTCTATGTTTCCCTGTTAAACTAGACTCAGATGCATGGGAATACTTAAATGGGAGCAAAATAATAAAAGCATTGCAATACGGTACTAAGCCCATGTTATGCTTTACGCAAGTAATAGTAGCTGACCTTATCTAATATTCATGAACTCAAGGTGAATCACAACTGCATAAATTCTTTGCTAAAAAAACATGTAAATTGGTTATTTATCTATTCCACATTTCTAACTAAATTCATCACTATTTTTTTCATTTAGAATGCAACAGGAGTGAGCCTTCACAGACCCTAGAAACTGTTTCGCCCTTGGAACTATGGCCCTATAGAACTGTTTACGGGAGACCCAACGAACAGCAGATTATAAAAAGGATGCTGAACGTCCATTTTAGTCTCACAACCACTTCCAGTATTTTTTGACATTTTTTTACTCTTTCGTTTGGGAAAAAACAACAAAAACTGCAGCTTAACATTACCAATACAACTTTTAAACGGGAACTTGGTTTAAACCTTTGTTTGATATTCGATTCTTAATGAAAGTTCTTGAATAAATTTTTGAATTTAATGCTACTTTGTTTTATCTACTTAATCGTTGCAAGAAACTTGTGATAAGCGAGGCTATCAGCACCTAGTTCATGTGTTCAAATGGTTGTGGACTGAATAGAAGCTTTCGCTTAACAGGCTTCCGTGTCTAGTAGCGGGGGATCACCAAAACCTCCAGGCAGGAACCTAGGTATGTTAACAATAAAAGAGGAAAGAGAAATTGGTAAATCATAGTATGATACTATCCTTAAGAATAGATCCACTTGCCTCTTAAAGGACTCCTGGGAAGTCGCTCGGCGGACAGCGGATTCCAGCATTTGACAACTCCTAAGGAGTAGAAGTTGAGTCTACAGTCCGTTCTGCTATGTTGTGTCGCTGGTTTCTGGGACTAAGCTTAAGTAGGTGTTTTAGGGGATGTCCAGAATTGTTAAGGTTATTGTAAGCCATTAGGTCACCTCTAAGACGTCTATACTCTAATGAGTAGAGGTTAAGTGATTGGAGGAGCTTTTCATAAGGTGATTTGGTGCATATCTTCGTCATTTTCTTGCGAGACTTACATACTCGGGTCCTCTCACAAGTTATTCTAACCACCATGGGTTGTCACGGCAGCTGATGGATGGACACGCGTTACACATCCTAACCGTACCTGCGTCTTATCTTATAGCTTCTAACTCAAATGACAAGCAAGCAATGCCCCTACCCGCACTAATGGAGCACTAGTAACTGAAATGCACCCCGTATGGTACCTTACACTGGTTTACGCACTCGCTTAGCCCTTTAGTGAGAATATTAATACGGTCCTGCTGAAAATCCCATGAACCCCTTTACCTTCTTTAAAACAAATAAGTCTGTATTTGCTGCATATAGCAATTTTATTATTCAAAAGTAAGATATAACAGTTAGAATTGGAGTAAAATGACAGTATACAGCAGATGCACGTGGTACATGTCTTCATCGATTAACTGAAATAGAGAATACGGATATCAGCTTAACAGGATTATTTAGAAAGATTAGTGTCTAATTTGAACTTACTGCGTGAGAAAGTTATACTGGAACTACGAATGTTGTAGAAATAGAGTTTATCGGGGCGTACGAAGCACTCAGACTGTAAGACAGTTGTCCAAAAATAATTCGAATATGAAGGTGAAAATTTGCAGGTACTTTTCATCGTAAGGGTGAACATATTAGGTACCAGTTGACATCATACCGTAAGAAAACACAAATTTGCGAGTAGTGAAATATGATCTATAAAAAAGTGAGCTTAATAGCAGTTAATCACCTTTTTACTCCCTGATCATGACACTTCGGCTTCCTTTTATGGCCAAAACAGCAAACATACACTACACACTGGTAGCAGATTTCCGGCTTTTCAATGTTAAGCTTGCTTTAACACACCGCATAATGATTACAACCCCTCTATTACTGCTATATGGCATATTTTTCATAACAAACCCTCTGCAATAGATTGGTAGCATCTGTGACTTCATCTATAGTTGTCGGAAGTCTGGGTCCTTTCGAAATCAGTACCGATATACCCTACTCCTTGGCACTCTGTATTAGTTTGACTCGTTGGTGGGATAGTGTTGTCCATAATACTGAAGAAAATTAAAAAAACGCAGATTGTTTCCTTTCATTTTGCCGATAACATCATAAAGGACAGTTAGGAACGAACATGCAAACAGTTAGAGTCACAGGCGGCAGCAACAATTATTTTAGCTAAATAAAAACGAACTTCGGCTTCGGACATCTAGAAAACAAGGTAAAACATAACCGATTGTCGTTTAAAACCGTAAGGTCTTATGTTAGTACTAGCCAGCTAAGCTGAATGAATATAGTGACTTCATTAGCAGCAGATAAAACCCAGAAAACAAAGCAAAATCAGGAAAAATTTTACTCCAACGTTCAGAGTATCACACTAACTTCTAGATTTTAGCACACTGAAACACCAAATTCTGTAGCTACACAAAAGAAATAGCGGAAAAAACACAGAACGAAGAAAGCCGGCCGACATTTTATAACACAAGACTAGCCGGATTGCCCGAAGAAATACATTGACTTGAGTAGAAGCAGCAAAAACCCAGAAAACATCGCTGATTCGAAATAAACTTCACACCAACATATAGAACATTACACTGACTGCGGCATTTTAGCACACTGAGACATTAGATTACATAGCTTCACAAAAGAAATAGCTGAAAGAAGCACAGAACGATGAAAGCTGACCGCTATTGCTTACAAAGATGGCGGATGTTATAATTCCCGCCTCATTCTGATTGGTTGCTAAGCAGAAGGGCACATTTACGAAATTGAGTTGCGTTTAGTTGCAGCCCTTGACAAGTCTATCTGCTCACTAACTTAACTGTTACCATTAGAACAAAATAAATTGTTTACTAAAGTCTGAGCAGGAGCGGATTCCGCAAATTGACTGATGACCACCCCTGAGCAAGCTGAAGAGTATAATTTAAAGGACTTAAAAAGAATAATGGTCCTTTAAAGTTTTATTCACGTTACGTATGGCTTGCGATAACTCAGGTGATTTGGGGGGGACGATCTTTTAACCTGTTGAGGCAAGATTTAGCTCTGGAACTAACTCAGTCACAACAATAACGTTTCGCCTAATGACTAAAAAGCCATGTATAAATTTTGAAAATGTGAATGGATTAATTAAGATTATAAAAGCCCATGACACTACTGAGAAGTCAACTCGATTCATTAGCGGTGGGAAAACGTGAATAACTAATGGTAGATGACGGAAAATAACATTATTAACGTAAACATAGTATATATAATTACATCCTGTCAGTTAAAACAGCGGTCATCGAAATGGAACTATGAAGCAGTCTAAACCAAGCCTACTATGAGTTATAGGATCAACAAAGCCTGATAATAATACTTATATCTCTTGGGTGCATGAATCTGAGTTGTTGTTTAATTTTTTCGCTGAGATTTTAATTTTGGTTTTGATGTGAACCGTTCGCTCTCATTCATTGTCAACAAATGAAAAAAGACAGTGTTAAAGCGATATAGTTATGAATATGAAGTTGGACATTAACACCGTTGGATGCCAGCTCAGTGGTCTAGTGGTTAAGTGTTCGCGCGCAAAGCCAGTAGGTCCTGGGTTCGAGCCTCGCGTGGTGCGGGATTGTGGATGCGCACTGCTGAGGGGTCCCATACTAGGACGAAACGGCTGTCCAGTGCTTCCAGGTTTTCGATGGTGATCTAGCTTCAATCGACTCATGATTTCAACCTGTGGAATATGATCTCTGTTAATGACTTCCTTATTTTAGCAAGACTTCGAGATGACTAACCCGTTGTGAACGCAATCAGTGAAATACTACCGGATCGGTGTTGTCGTAAAACAACAAAGTTTTTAACCAGTAAAATGGTTTCCAATCCAACCGCTCAGTGAATATAGCATAGTCTCTTTCTTAACATATTGGTCGATGGTGTTATGTTTGGACAAGGATTAACAAGCAAAAAATCACGACACATAGGGTGTCAGATATTTTTCATTCTACCGCCTTTTAATTTAGTATTCTCATGTTCATCTAACAATTGTTCTTTTAATTTCATTTTGCGACACAATGAAACTTCGCTTTAAAATGACATTTCATTTCTATGTTTCCGTAGAGAGACAGTGGGTCATTAATGCTTTGAAAGTGATCTTTTCATTGGAATGTTGTTAATGGAGCAAAATCCTTAGAACTCGTGTAGTTTGTTTAAGTCTATCAATTAGTTGTACAATTCTAAGGGTCCCCGTCAGCGCTTATGTTCTAAGTGATGTATAGACCACTGAGATTTTGACCTTATGGCAGCAAAGTCGAAAAGGTTACTGAAAGTTATAGATGGAATACGTTCTTGGAATATTAGCTCGTCTCAACCAAATTCGTCACCAAAGTCAGCCATTGAAATCGACGAGTATTTAAAGAGTGAACATTTCCAAGTTGGAAAGGTAGATATTTATTTTCTGAATGAAAATAATGTCCTCATACTCGTTTTCTATTGATATCTTTTTTCAGATCTCTGCGCATGGTTTTCCTCACCAACCGACTTGCATCGCTTTTGATCCCGTTCAACGAATTGTTGCTGTTGGAACGAAGTGTGGGTTCATCAGGATGTAAGTTGTTCACATATTATTACATGCTTGGGATAGTTTCGGAAGACCAGGTGTAGACTGTAGCATCTCTCATCCCTCAGCGTCTGCTGTCCTTCAAATATTCTTTCTCGTCAACGAGGTAAGTCACTCACATTCAATGCACATATGATAACCTACTGTCACGAGACGTTTTACATGAACAATCTGTATGGGATTCCAAATTTCTTATAAAAGCATGGGCTGTAAATCCTAGACTATAGTCATGCGTAGCTTACAACATTATATCCGTTTTGTTTGTTTCTCGAACTACCTAGATGTTTAATTTTATGGAAACAAGTTTTCACCTTTTAAATATAACGATAACGCTCATTCTCAGTTCTTATTCAACTTCCACGCATATGCCATAAACCACGTCGCTGAATGTGACCCAAATACTATTTTAAGGTCCTTAGTTTCTCCCATATTTCTCAGTAGCAACATTAAGGTTATTAAAGTATATGTTTAGGAAACAGAAGTTTTACTAGTAGCAGTTTCATAGCTATCGTCCTCATCTTGAGCTATAAGTCATCTTTCAGTTTAAGAAGAGAATTGTACTTTCTCGGTTGTTTCTTATTGTTATGCGCAACAAACAGTAAATTGAACTTGTGGCGAGACTAAAATTTCTGGACGAACTAATCAGATATAAGATAACGAGTTACGAATTTGGCGCGGATTTCATCCATACATTTGGCTGAATGGAGTTTTGGCATTACAGTTCGTGACGAAAACCCTAAGTCTAATTTTTAACCCTTACCATCGACTGTGAATGAGAATTCTAACTGCTTTATAACCGTTATTTAGTCCTAATTGGTAGTTGTTCACCCTCAAGGTCACTTCAGTGTCGCTCAGAGGTCGTCCATAAATTATAGTCTCACCGAACTTGTTCTTGAGGTTCGAGCCTGCATACAGGTGTACTTCATCGTACATGCATGGTTTGAAATAAGTTGTGGTGTCCCTTTCTGTATTGGTTCATTAAATTACGATCATACTGTTACGTTAGTTGCCCTTACCATGTGTTTATTGTTAGTTGGGAGTGAGATAAAACTTAAAATTATATCACAAAACAGCAATTTAAATTCTCATTTTTCTAAAATGGGGATTTTACTTATTTTCAAATCATCTCAAGGGTGGATTGGTTTCGATTTGTGGTGACGACGTTGCACACTTGTGGAACATAAGACAGAAGAATCCAGAAATAGTACACTCTTTACAGTTCAAACGTGAACAGTAAGTTAAATTTGTGTGATGTGCTAACTAGCATATTTATATATTTTACTCATTTTGTAACATTTTGTTTGTAGGATAGCAATAATGTTGATTGTCATATAGTAATTATTTTAAGTAGTCTTTTAATCTTTAGTTTCTATCATCAAGTCGTTTCGTCCCTCCACCTGTTTTTTTACTCCGTGGTCTTTTAGGCATACGTACTAATTGCATAAACGGTTTACTTGAAATTGATCTTAGATTGGCCTATACATTGTTACGTTTACGCAGTTTCTATCATGAAGAGATAGTACAGGTGCAAAAAATGTTGTAGAGCCAAGACTGAAAGCACGAAAACAATAAGTTGGCGGAGTAGTAAAGTGGATGACTGTGTAGGTTGAGATTGATTTCGAATTGTATCACTTAATTTTCTCGAAATACAGTTATGTAGGAACTATTTCTTACGTTCAGACTTCTTTCTAAGCAAGACAGCCCCAGTCTTATTTCGAGAGAGAATCGCGCGTTAGGGTTACATTGTCTGATGAAAGTATCAGCCTACCAAGGTCAACAGTATTTTACTGATATATTTTCTAAACCTTCATAACTTTCCAAGCTGTTAGACCGTGTGATAAGACTGAATAATGATTGCCGCTGAAGTTTGAATAGGATGTTTTGCCTTTTACCTAGTTTCAGCTTCAGTTTCATTTATTTGCGTAGACAAGTTGATGGATCATCAGGGACCGTATAAAATGGTTTTACATTGCGCTATAAAAAAGTAAAGAAATAAATATTTCGATCGTATAGGGAAGCTTAAGAGTTACATAGTACTACATCAGTGTTAGATTAGTTTCATGGTCTATATAACTCAGTAAAATTTTGTATGGTCCTATTTTTAATTTATGTTCTTGGCTTCAAATGCTGGGGCTCGATTGGTACTATTTGATGATAACAGTGAGTAGCGAGTCTAGTGAGAAGGAATTTGGATTCATTTCACACATATATTTGTACTGTCTGCATTTGCCGGAGTGGTTTTAGTACCTGTAACCGACACCTCTGAGGAATGTAGGATTTAGTCGTCCGACTGTTTTAGATGGGTTATCACTAAATCGATAAAATTAAAAAAATAGGGTTATGTTTTGTCGTTAGGTTCACGAAATCTATGATCATCGATGGCGTCGGTTTTGAAGTTTGTTTGATTGGGACTCTGAGTTTTGGGAAATTGAGGGGCTCAAGAGCACCTGTCAAATATACTTCAAAGCCGAAGCCATTGATAATCTTGATGCTTAGAGCATTGTTAATTCCACGCATAACTAGTAAGACATTATAAGAATATTACGTTACGAAGTTTTTGAGTAAGTCTCTTTAGACTTCACATTATCCAGGTCATCAATAAAATGCCCTGGCTTCTATTTCTTTATCTCCCATATCATTATTTTGTGTCATGTTTTGGTGCCGTATATGTACCAAGTTTATGTTTTGAATAGACAGTAGATAAAGTATGACTTTTCTCCTGGTCCCCCTCACAGTGCTATTCCCTATACTGCGAGAATCAGTGCTCTTGATTTCATCACAATCCAGTCACCTTTCCTCACGTGGTTGAATCTCAATGAACAAGCATTCCAGCCAGTGTAGCTCGGGTGGGTCGGGTAGTAATTAAACCTGACTACTGCATCAAGTGGCCAGGTATAATTTCTGGTTTAATTTTTTAAATGTAAATCTAGCTGATTTTTATGAATTGTTGCATACACGACAAAAGGTGAACTTGTGGAGGAGGCATACAACCATGACAACAACTATCCGTTATTATGTACTGTGTTTTATTCAGTATACTTCAAGAAATTGTCCCTCACATAACGATGTTTGAAGAGGACCTTATTATGAACAACAGTTTTCCGTTGTGCTTTTGACGTCGTTTGAAAAGTTTGCGCAGAAAAAGCACTTTTTAGTTCAGTCCAAAATTATGTTCATTTACATTTCTGCAATAAAAGCCTCAGCTTCATTTCTTACAACACTAGTCATTTGGTTTGATGTCTAAAAATATGATTCGTTTTTACGTCATATCTCCGTGAACCACCTAGATAGGAGTGTTAAGTAATTATTTCTCGTCTTTTCAACATTCATATGCTCCTGTGAATGCTCGTGTGACACAATACCCACCACACTAATTATGCTTTCCACTTTGAATATTGAAAGAATACAGGTGTATTATCGTGAGTTAACCGGCGTGGGAACTTAGCTTTGGCATTAAGAGACGAATATCTCATCTAAAATCTTTTACTATCTAGCAACTACATTTCTGAAGTATATTAATGTGCTAGCTCACCAAAGAGGTTGATCAAAAACGAGTATGTTTTCGGTTATAACCGGCTGCAGTAAATTCGGCATGATTGTACCTTGAGGTTTTTGTGAAACATTAATTAGTTAGTACTCATTCCAAACCAGTTTTGTCGTCTTACGAACAATGTAAAGATGCTCCTTTCTCTTGTATGCTGATTGTTTCATACAAACCTTGTGCATGTTATTCATAAACACAACACCCGTCAATTCTGTTTTTAGAAACGGTTTGTTTTATTGATTTCATTTAATCAGTAATTGGTTTGTTACTACCATCATGAAGTTTCATAATATTTTTTGCATCTATGTAGTTGTGAAATAGTTTTATATCCTATAGTTTTCCATTTACCGGTGACCACATTTGACGTTATTTTATGTTTTAGTTTTGATAAAATATTTTTGATTTAAGTCAAGTTATCTGTGTATACAGTATTATCATCATAATGTTATTACTTCAGTTTTTACGTTTCATGTCCGAATTTTTTGGATTCATTACTTTTATGTACCTACGCTGTCGAACAGTAGTCACTATAAACACCACTATTTGGTTTTAAGTGCATAGTTTTTGAGATGATTGTTTTATGTTATTTCGTACAGACTAATTTTATGAATCCATGAAATGAGTAGTCTCATATAGTGGTGAGGATGCATTTTGGAGTAACTCATTGATTAACCCTTAATTAAATGCTTACCAAAATAATGAAATATTTGCCTTCGTCACTTGGTCAAGTTGTGTTTTAGCAGTAAAAATTACGCTACCATCATATCCCTTTTATTGATTTACTATAAGAATAAACTGTGGGACAAGTTACGATCAGGCAAGGTTTTTGCATAGGATTCTAAATTTTCCGTTAAGAGTGAAATCCTGATTAGACTGTGGCAATTGTGTTTGTCTTACTCATAAATCTCCATAAGTTTTGGCGAAATTTCGGGAAACTTCAGCACGACACTTTATTAATGATTAAAACATTCAGTGTCCACAACTACAAAAATTACAGAAGTCTGTGACAAACATATTGGTGTTCATAGTAGGTATGGTTTTTGTGCGCGTAAGTTTCATTTTGCTCAATTATGAACAAGCTGAAGGAAATTATTAGTCTAAAATAAAATAAGACTAACCAGTCACTTACATGCATTCAAAATGAAATCAGAAAAAAGAAAGACAAAAACGGGTAATTCATGGGAATCGATAGACCACACACGGTAAATTTTTGATAAACATCATACTACAGTAATTTAAACGAAAAATATTCTTAGGAATTAAACATGCGAAGATCAAAGCAGATCGAAGAAAGTTTAAGTGAAGATGTTACTTTTATGACAGGATCATCGATGTTACAGAAGTCATGCAACTGTAACAGTGTTTTAAATTTTATTACTAAATTTAGTAGTTGGACATTCAAATATGTCATCCAATGTTCGATCAGAATCTTTTCATTTCACAACAATCTGAATGGGGAAAAAGTTAAACTTTTCTGTGTATTTCACAAACGATGTAGATTGAAAAGGGTAAGTCACTCATAAAAAGTACAAACCAGATTTTCTTATGGCAAACGCCCTAGGTAAAAATTAGAAAACTTACCCAATATAAACAATGTAGAACTTTCACGAAAATAAGAACATAGTCTATTAGTTAGCCAAGACTTGATATTTATTATAGAAAATTGTTCCTTACAGAATCAAAAAGATGTGTAGTCTAGGAAAGCGCAGCGAATATATTTGGCGTTTTTCATCACGCCTTAAACCATGGTTTAACACATAACATTGACATTATGCAAAGCATTTCTCTTGTGGAATGGATCGATATGACGTCCTACAAACAACAATATCAGGAATATTGTCGTTTTTCTGCCTATTTATAAAACAGAACATCGCTGCTTGAGGAACAAATCACGTGTTTTAGCTGAAGGATTTTCATTTACATTTAAACATTTTGACTGAAATTAATCTCAGTGAGGTAAATATTAGTATGGCTAGCTGTCACTATTGAAGAAAAATCAAGCAAACCCATTGTACTTCTTGGTTATGATTGTATTGTCGGTTGATTACTCAGTGTTATCAAACATTTCGGAGTTAGATTCTCTTTCTAAAACTCAATGGAGTTTAGTTATAGAGATGGAACATTGTTTAATAGGCGTACAGAACGTAACCTCATGAAAACTGGTTGAATGATCGGTTGAGGACTTTAAGATCTAATTTAACTGTTTTCATACTTGTACATGTTGTATTTAATACATTCAAAATTAAATAAAATATATTGTGTATAAATATCATTGTTTCTGCAATGAAAATTGCGTAGCAGTAAATAAATACAATAGATTCCTTACTGTTACAATTACTTCAGATTACAGATATAATGTTTTGTAGACTGTAATTTTTGACTACTGATATGAATTTAAAAGTAGATGTTACTGTCATTTGTCAAAATATAAAAATTTTCGGCATAGGAAGAACATTAAACAAAACCGTAGATCACGGAGAGATGCGAAAACGTTGCATCAAACCAATATCAAAATATTTCTGTGGGCACCATGTAATATAGAAAAAAGTCAGACATTTCTAAAATGATTTCTAACTGGCGAGTTTCTTATGATGTGCGAAGCAGTTTGAACGTTTCGATATTTTACAACAGCTCAGAAAAAGAGTAAATTTCGTGTTTTTTGTGAACACGTTTTTCTGTTTTCGCCAAAAAGATATCTGTCTCAAGAAAGAAAGTTAATATATGACTATTTACCGTGTGTGCTCTTTAACGAAAATATCCGAAACGGATTTCCATGTATAAACCCGTTAAATGAATAAATCTTTTGAGACAACAGTATAATAATTGAATTTTTGGGACAACGTAAACTATTTCAACATAATGAGCTTTAAAGAAATGTTTACTGTCTAACAATGGTATCACGCTATAAAAAACCCATGTGATTAAAGAAATCTACATAGAATATTCAATACTTAAAAAAATGGAAGCTCACAAGCTAGATTTCATTTTGAAAAGCTTATAAAGGGATATGGATAACCATTTATGAGGTCAGTTGTCTATGAAGTTCTAATCACTAAGTAAATAACTAATGCAATACGGTAAACATTTTGTTCATAAAGGACTGATACAACGTCTATACAAATAAGAACAGGCCCTTACTAAATGCAAAATAATCTTGTTGTAAACGGCGGTATTCATGATTGTGATGTAGAAAATTCCCTTGTGGGGTCATTCAACACATTTTACTGAATACTATACTAATGGAAGGTGAAAATTGGCAAGATTGGTCTTCCTGTCTAAGGAATGAACGAGGGTTGTTAGACTTCTCTATGTGTAAATTCGAAGCCGACCGAAAAAAAATATGATGGAGTACGGTGAAATAAGAATCTTTTAGTTCTATCCATTCTACAGACATTACTTTAAAATAAGACAAATTAAGTTTACTGTGCCTAGATTTTCGACAGTCGCTTGACGGCACTAGATTCACGATGAAACTTAATCACAAGTGTATTGAAAATCCATGATTAAACAACGTGGAAAATTAGAAACGTGGTTCATCTTTTCTGAGACATATACTAATACACAGTAATCAATTTAGTGATAATTTAATTACTCATAAATCATTGAGCGAACATTTGTCAAATAAGCACTACCATGAAACATCAGTGGAATATCTGAGTTATTTTTCTGCGAAAATATAATCGATTTTGCAGAAACAACCATTAGAAAACTATGTATTACACGTTATTCTGTTTAACCTAAAAATGAAGAGATGATATCTAAACTTATTATGGATAATTATGATACAAATATATCATCAGAAATAAAGACTTCAAGCGTACACAGCTACAGGTTCTTTGAATTTTCCTTCTTGTTGAATGCGATGCATAAGATCTCCACCATTTACATATTCCATCACAAGATATAATCGATCCTGTGGAAACAAAAAGATGGAAACAAAATATAATTACATGAGTAAGAGAATAGGACGAGAACTATTTAGGAGTAAATGGGTCTTAGAGATTGCTTAATTTAGTTGTGCGGTTTATCATAAAACATGAATCACATTAAAACACCTAGGAAATGGTGTTTTATTTATCACTTCCAATCTTTATACACAGCACACCTAAAAATAAATGAATACATTTTGCGTTGTTATTTGAATTATATTATTTATTACTTCCTAATCATGTGATTCCTGAACAAGATTTCTTCTGTTCGATTTCCCAGTCATTCACTGTGAGTATAAGAGCTAACATGGGGACAGTACAATTGTTCACCGTTACCTAGTTACCACTGGTCACTTCGAAACAAATGATGTTATCCATCCATCAATAAAACAAAAAAAATAGAGCAATTCACAAACTTTCAGAAACACTTTATTTGGTCTTCAACCCTTAGATCAATCATCTATATGACAGCTCTTGGATTCATTTGCATCAAGAATTTAGATCAGCTACAATTACGATAGGAAATGATTGATCAATATGCCAGTTTTTTTTAAAGCTGGAATTTCGCACAAAAATAGAAAAACAGGGAAAATTTTCTTTTAAAAATTTGTCACTAACCATAGATTGGAAACATGAATGTAATCGAACTAAAAAAGGGGATTTATTCGGCAAAGCAAGAACTCTACGCTCTGTCATAGCACATTCTACATCATCATCTTGTAAAATTACATCTTTTTTCAGAATTTTCACAGCAAATAGTTCATCCATATGTTTCTGTTCAGCAAGTATAACCTTCAACAAAAGTAAAGATAAACTATTTTACTGCCCATAAACGCAATACTGATATTTTAAGAAAATAAGAATGCATCATAAAACAACGAAAAATGTGTTTGATATCGATATTATTATAATTGGGCTTCATGTAAGCTATACAACGTTAAGTAACCATGGATTATAAGCCATAAGACAGACGGAAGCAAGTTTTGATTACTTCGAACTGTTATTGAAGATTTCGACAGCTAATTAAAACACACAATCAAGGAGCATTACATAAGGAAAATAAGAAAAATGTGCTACAGGTTAAACCGATTGTAAGAAACGTAATTGGCCTCCATCATCAATGATCAATTTACACAAACAATAAATATTCCTTCAGTTTGGAAAAGGTAATATAAAAGAGGAAATTGCTTCCATTTAACTGTGGTGGGAAACTCTTCGGAAATAATAAATAAATAATTATACACAGTTCTTCTTAAATGAGCTCAGTAATTACAATCATGGAGTGATAAGTGAAGCTATAGATATGAACTAACTTAAACTAGAACAACTTAACTGTCTTTTCAAAGGACAAGTGTACCTAATAACCAAAATAATATACAACTAACAGGTATTTATATGATTGAAAAATTGTCACTTTCACACAAAAATCATTTGTCAGAATTTAATAACTAGTCAAATTACAATTAAGATTGATAATTTTATCATGGTTATGAAGAAGAAACGCATACAATTACTTATGAATTCTGCTTAACTGCATGGAAAACCTTTAAAAATTGGTCTTTATAGGTGTAGGTAAGTGGATAGACTTTTCATTTAATAAATAAAGGTTCTACTGAAGTTTAACTAGAAAACTGTTGTTAGATAACATTAAGATAATAATGCATGATCGTTCAAATTTATTTTTTAACATTGAAAGTATCTTATTTTACTGAAACATAATTTATTGAAAGACTTAGACAAAATTGTGATTTCTCTTTAATCATTAAAACGTTTCCCAAATTGATCAAATGGTAAAGCGAAGTATTTAACAAAAAGTGTTTATTCAATAAAAAGTATTAGACTAACCTTTCCAAAACTACCTTTCCCTAAAACATAAAGGAAATTGAAATCACTTGGTCGAGGAATATCTGGTTTATGCTGTGATATTGTTGATGAGGTTGATATCTTATTTTGACTACTTGCCAAGTTTAAATGTTCAGTAGACATACGCTAAAGTAGAAAATACAAATTTAAATAAAGTGTCAAAAAAACGGATAATTACGGTAAAATGGAATCCCGTTCCATTAATCAAATGACAATTTTCAATGAACGCGGGTGTAGATCTATGAAATGTATCCGGAAATTAATGAAATGCAATTACTTTAAAAGTTAGTAAATAAGTATCTTTAAACATCATGTATATCTGTGGTAACATCAAACAATTTACAGATGAACCTATAAAAGAATTAGATTCAAGCACTAAAAATTAGTAGCCAGAATAAACTATGCAATTCACAAAACAGTGTATGCACGTTGACTGCCAACAAAAACGTACAATTACAAACGATTATTTCTTTACGCAACATAGCCATGCTCGTTAACATGCTGTTTAACAAGTCATTTACATAATTTCAATTAGGGTGAACTAAATTTCCTTTATAACACGGGAGGGAAAATCTGACAAATCACCTGAAACTAGTGATTTCAAACAGATGCACCGTAAGTTAATAGTGTTGATTTTCAGGTCAAAAATTCTGTAGTGAAACTCCAGATTTTTCCAAGCCACAAACTCCTTAATTTAAGCTATTAATTGATTTTTGATGGGGATAAATAGTTCTTAACCATTTATATCATCTAGAAATGAGAGAACTACCGAGAGTAACAGATTACAAAAGAAAGAACATGACTCTATTGCAGGAATGACAAATCATTAAAATGTAATACACCATATTGCTACTTAAAATCTGTCAGTAAATAAAAAATCATAAAGGTTACATAAAACCAGTGCAGTACGTCTGAGATCTGACTCATTAAACATTTATATTCGTGGTATGAAACGATTAATGTGAACAGCTTGAAATGATGCTCATATACTCTCTACTATCTAACATAGACAAATTACATAGGATAAAGACTACTTCACAGAAAGATAAAACTCAGATGTTGTAAGAGTTATAGCACATTTCCGCAAAACAAACTAATTGTGAAAATGGAACATGGAAAGTCCCCAATAAAACACAATACTTATACGAGCACGGATGGATTTTCTAAGCAGCTACTTCTATTTAACTGATAGGTATAGTTTATTCTACGTAACCACACCTCAGTGGCCGGTGAATAGGGTCAAGACTAAAATTTAATAAATCTAACCACATTCGAATCTCCATAAATCTTGAAATAAAATAAATACTCAATCAAACTTAACATACGTAATGATTACCAAACTGATCAAAAGATCACACGAGCATATGTCGTTTGTTTCTGGAAAACAATCAACAATGCCCATGAGTTCATGAAATGATACTTCATTAAAAAACCACGTACGGGGACAATAATCATGAATAACAACAGCAGCAGAAAGTGAAAAAAAAATTAAATTACAAGTTACACAAACATTGGAGATGACAAATAACCTGACGTCTGGTAGTTTCGACAATCTCTAAGAATGTAACTAAGTATGGAAATCAAAGACAACGGTCAGAATGAAGCCTAGTTAGAATCAATGTATGTTCTGCGGAGATTCTCCCAACAAATACAGGAGTTAAACAATAGAACAGTAACATGAAAACGAGCTAGTCACTTCAGGTAATCAATGCTCTCTCCCTCTCTCTCTCTCGCTATATATATATATATATATATATATATATATATATATATATACGAAAGAAGAAAAACTGAACCGACAAAGAAGTCTTTTGCGGGACGACGTTTATTGTTTGATAAAGGTGGTAGATGGGCATGTGTCTTTAAGAACTAATGTTGATTTTAATCAGTTGTGGATCACTAGCCTTTGTTTGGGTGCCAATATGCGAGAAATCACATACACAATGGAATGAAACCTCATCGGTAACAGATGGATTTACAAACCTCCGGGTTTGACGTAAATGAAAATGTTTGAAATTCATAAGAGTCAATTGATTGATGTACAAGTACAACTTAATGAGGAAAAACTTTCAAATGTACAAAAGCTTCACTGACTAATCGGTTCACACTATTTTAGTAATCCAGACTTACAAGCCGATTTCATTTTCAGAAGTATGCTTTTCATCTAATGACCAACAGTTGACTCCAAAAACACAGTTATCGTAGGAAAGCCTTATACACCACCAATATTGCTAATGAAGACTTTCACGTCAAATGGTTATTGTTATGGGTTAAATGTTTATCTTCGAGTAGTTTCATGAATGTATGACAATCACTTGTTGATCGACAACACTTCCTTTAGGTTTACTTTTTCATCAACCTCCACTTTCGGGAGAACTAAACAAAAACTACACGTCACTGTAATTAATCCCAAAATTATTTTTATCCTTGTAAATATTGTCAACAATATTAACTAGTGAATAGAGGGTCATTATAGTTACTGGTCAGTAGATTAACCTTTTTCTCTGCAACTGAAGCATTTACTGAGATAGATTACCTTATAATCAGAAAAGGATAGTGTGGGCTGACATAAAATTACCGCAAAGTACGATAGAATAATGATACAACTCAAGATTCGGCAGTTCCCAAAGTTATAATTTTAAATGATCCGATGTAATAAAAAAGGTCTCTAATTTAACAATTGAATATTCGAGTCAACTGTATGACAGGCTATTAAAAAGCAAAAGAGCCTAGATAAGTATTTATTGCTGCTTTTCTATCCAGGAATAGAGATACCGTATACGAATTAATAAATGAAGATGTCATTTAAATATATCCTACAAATTTCTGTCTCATTGGAACAGAAAGACGTTTCAACAAAACACTAAGTGTCCTATCATTTACATATGAGAGTGGAATAATGAACAATCTCTCTAGAAACTGATTAAAGTCAGTCGGTGCACAATAGAAAACTCGACAAAATCAAACACGCTTTTTATGAAACCCCACAGGCTGAATCAGTGATACTGAAGAAGAATAGGTGTCATAAAGAGGTCAAGCAAGGGAAAACATGAGAACAGGATAGTTATGCTAAAATCTGTTCATTCATACATTATGAGAACGCTTTAACTAAACAATTCTTTATGCGGTCCTCATTCATGGATGATAAAAAGGGATTTTAAACTAAGTTATTAGTCAAACGCTAAGGCTCAATCGATGGCCCGCAAGAGCAGTTACTCGAAGACAACTGGATCAGATCCTACTAGTACTCAGGTATCGAAATCCTATTCATCATCCTAACATAAATGAATTGGTCCACTGATTAGTACCAAATCACATTTTACTATGTTCAATATTTAAATATTTATATGCTATCCAGTTTTTTTGGTACACCTTCTGTAATCTAATGAACATAGTAGTATTATCATTCATATAATTAATAGTATGAATCACTGATTGCTGTTATAAAGGTGTAGGGCTAATAATCTTGTAAACGATTGGATGCTTGGGGAAGGGAAAATTTAGAATAATGATAATTATAACCACCTATTATTTAGTGATAGACATAATCGGAATTGCTAATATTACAATGGAGGCGGGAAATACTAAACAGAATACGTTCATATATATTTTTCACCAATGGGAAATCAATCGTGTAAATTGATTTTGACATCATACTTAATAAAATCTACATGTTTACACAAATATGGTATAAAATGAATTGTTTTTTGTAGATAAACGTCTTTATCTTCGTTAAAAACACGCCTCAGATGGTCCTAGCTGTGATCTAAATACATCATCAATGAAGAATTAGATTGCAGGGCAGTGGACTTAGAGCATGAACGTCCTAGACGTAGTAAGTAGATTTTGGTAAACAGTCATGTTCATCATAGAATATAAACTAAAGGTATTATACTGACTACTTTCATCAACGTAGATATCGAGGTATGTAAAAAGTGATATTTAGCATGTAAAGTAGGAAGAGAAAATCCTGCTCCGCTGATATCGGTTGGATCAACCGAATACTGCTACTAGTTCCTATACAAAGAGATACTTAAAACGATGTACATGAAGCACACCTTAATCATCTAGTTACATTGTTAGCTAAGCAGTGGAAAATCGTTAGAGTTGTTGCTTCTTTATGAAGATCAACGCTGCTGATGGTTTTCAGACAATTCAGCTAACGAAATTCTACGATGTGAACTCCAACCAAACGACCTACTATCCTGTATGAAATCACATGTCCCAGAAACTAATACTTCGATCAAAAAAGGCACCACAGATGAACACTGTTGAAGCGATTCTGTACAGAGATGAAATCTGTATAAAATTACCAAAATTATCAAATCATTTAGCAAAAGTATGTTATACAAGCCAATTTCAAACTTCCTGATAGTCCTCAGATAATCAGTTGGGAATCACTAAAGTATCTGATAGGTTTATATCGGGCAGAATTACATATGAAAAGTTAGAGTGGCTGTACACTAAAAGACCATAAGAAAATTTGTTATTCAGGCTATCAGTGTACTGAAATTTCTCGTTTTAATTAAAAGTGACATCTACATCCCGAAAACCAAAATACTGTAAAAAAGGCAAACGATTCATAACTAATGTAACTGAAGGCAAAAAGACATTGGTTTAACTTGGACATATTACGCAAATAAAACTTACTTCCATACGTTTACGCAATTCTAAAACAGCCGTGTTAAATTCATCAATACATGGTAATGAATAAAATTCACCCTCCTCTTGATTTAATAGTTTGTACCATGATGACACAGATTCTTTAATGATTTCACTAACCCCAAAGGAAAAAGAACCCATAAAATCATTTCGAGAAGTACGATCCCAATCCCAAACTTCAATTGAAAGACGCTTTGAATGATCGTCATCTGATATAGCACTTAAAAATCAATAAAAAAATAAATATAAAATCATGTAGAAAATCTTTAAATTTTACTTTAAAAAATGAATGTGTCTGCTCAGCAGTTTTAAATAATATAGATCGAAGAACCGATAAAGCAACTAAGGAAAACATTTAAAAATGTGTTTGTTAAAAAGACAACAAAGGAAAACGGGATTTGAAACACCAAAGGACAATGGTGAAATTTCAACTCAGATGTGTAAACAATGATTTTTCACGGACTTTCAGATTTTCTAGGTATATTATTCTTATTCTATCTTCATTTTGGTTAGCTCGCTTAAAGTTTCACCTGTATCACGTAAATCTATTTTTCTAATAACTGGAATTTTACAGATAAATGATTTCTATTGTTAATTTGTTGTTTAAGGTAATAAGGTTAGTTAAGTTAGTTAGATGGAAATATATCTATGAGAAAAGCTTTTGTTTCATTTACTCATAAAATAGCAAACAATGGACTATAGTTCAGCTGTTTCTTTGTAGTTTTAGTAATTATACTGATATAAATAAATGTAGGTAATGTTTTTAACGAATTAAATCTTCAATATTTCAGTTCGCTAATATCATACACGGAATCGGAAGCATTATTTGCATCTAAAAACTGCTACAACCTAGTAAAACTCATTTAACCAAAAAGACAATAACACATCTGATATCAGTGAAACTAGCTAAGAGGCTTGCGTTATTCTACATCTAAAGAACATGTGTGATGATATAGATTTATTTTGATCAATAGAATGAGAATAATATAGGCTTACTTCGTAGCAATAAAAGGATTACCTGAATCATACCAAAACAATAGCAACCAGTTTGTAAGTAAAAGAGGTATTTTGAATTATCAAGATCCAGAATTACTTCTATAAAATTACCAAGAGGCTGGAACCGGACCTACATTGACTCACATTCTGTATTAATATACCATCATCTAGTAATTGTCAACAAAATTTACACCTATGCCTTCGTGTCCTAATTTAATTAACCTCTATCAGTCAATCTCAGGAGGTGCATTAGTAGGAAACCTTATTAAACATAATACATATCTTTTTTCAGCAAAACAATATCTAAAGTGATAAAAGTTAAGTCATTTTCAAAATGCTAATCAATATATTGTACACAAATACTTAATCAACTAATTCTTTTAAGGCCTAATTACCCAAACTATCTTCGACGATTTAATTCAGTGAAGAACAGACTGATATTTTCAATGGCAGTATCGAATCCAAAATAAAAATATTGCCAAACTTTACTGATTGGATTCTAAGAAAAGGGTTTGAAAAAACGATCAGTAAAAGGCTGAATTACCAAATATTTATTCATACTAAAAAGTACATTTCTGTAAATTGCGTGAAGTCAGTGAGAAGAAATGCTTAAACGTAGAATTTCGGAGAGTATCATGATTAAAACAAGGTGTTTTAATATCACTAGTACCTTACCAATTATCCCCAGAATTACACCGCATCAAATAAATTACAACAGTATTGTTTGCGCAGTTAATGAAAACTAAGGGGAATGACATCATAAACCAGTGCTTTCAAAAATTTGAAACAAAAACATGAAACAACCAATCATTTAATTGGTTAACTAACGTTTACGATATGTATAAAAGCCTTTCATATTATATTAACGTATCTGCGATTGGTTTACGCGAAATATAAATAAGCTAAAATGACTTTTGCTTGACACTTTGATTTAACTTGAAACCAAAATCGAATACAACCATTCGGATAAAAACAATACGTAAAACCCATGAAAAAAAGTATCATAACTCCATAAAACTCTATATACAAAAAATTAACATGTCTACAAATTTAATGATGATTTAACTCATTTCCATTTTCTTTTTAGAAAGAATTGAATTCTACGAATGTAAAATAATAATATAAGATCTTGGTGATAGGCTCACATCAACAATGGTAAAACAAAAATTTAAAAGAAAAACAAGTAAATGTTCATTTAAATAAAATGAAAACCTGTCCAGTTTTCTTATCAACTATTAAATAGTAACAAACACAAAAATACTTACGTTTTTAGTTTACATTAAATAACCTAGCTATTTGCAACAACGAAGTTTGAATGTTTATGTTTGTTTTAATATTCTCAATCCTCAAACCAGCCTTCATTTTTAGTGTTGTAACATTGATAAAAAAGGAAACAATTTCGGTATAAATATTGGAAGTTCTTTATTATAACTTTCGTTACTGGGAAAACCATTGGAGAATTAGATGTCGAGAAGTAACAGTTCCCGATACTAACCGGACATTTATTACTCTATAAAGTTTTCAGGGTTCTAGTACGAATAGGATTTCATTAAAAAGTATGCTGTTATCGTAAACAGTTGTAGTTTCTACGATTTCAACAAACTATATACGATTTACAATAGCTTTAACATGTAAAAGGGTTACATCACATCAAGTTAAATATATCAATACTTTTATTTTATAGATATAGATATATAAAGATAATATACTACTAATTATTATTAAAATGAAGATGAACAACTGAGTCCTACCAAGGACTGTATGATTCATTTTAAAATGTCAAAACATTAAATTAAGCTATTATAGTGGAAAAGTTCACGACCGTTGTTGCTACCTTGACGTGGTGGTCGGGCTTGCCTATCGTGATGAAGCAACCGAGCTATACTGGCTGGAACAACCGTTCCTCAAGGTCCTACCATGTCAGACAGGTCGGTTGAAGAGCGGTAAGACTAAAAGCAACAAACCCAAGGTCCGAAGGCGAAGTCGTACTGCTGACTGTACAGAGGTGCGACAGCAGTAAGGTGTTTCCTTCAGACAACCAGCATGACAGCGATGCTGCCTTCCCACAAGGAGGGGTGGGGTTAGAAAAGGTCGGCCCTAAAAATGCGCACCTCACCTTACCTCATGGATTTCCGTCTCCGGCGGTAAGGCCCTTTGAAGAACGGAGCTAACACGTCGAAAACCTTCCACGAAAAGGCCGTGCGCGACCGGCCTCAAGCAGTTGTCCCTTGGGCACTGCGGTCACGCTCTCAGGTCACTGAGACCGCCTCTAATCCAATTTCCCTTTCAGGTACCTCCAGAAGAACCCTTCCACGGTGTGGGCAACCGGGAAGTGATAACCGCCCTCATACCTCTAACAGCACCCAAGACCTCTGTATTCATAATCAACCTTCCTCTTCAATTCCTATTATTCCTCCTACATCGACTTTCAACCCTAAACTTCCTCCTTCGGTTTCCTCCTCAAGTGTCACCATAGCCAACGATTCTAGTGCTCAAAACTCTGTCCCAGGTCTACTGAAACCTCGCTCCAAACTACACATTGGAGCTTTCAACGTACGCACTCTATGTCAAATCGGTCGGCAGGCTTCCTTGGCTAAAACCGTAGAGTCTCTTTCCATTGATGTATGCTGTGTCTCCGAAACACGCATACAGGATTCCAGTGTGGTCATTCACTTGACCTCACCTCGGCAAAACAGAGAGCCAACGAGATACACCCTCCGTGTATCTGGTGACCCGATGGCCAGCTCTCGTGGACTGGCAGGTGTAGGCATAGCACTAAGCATGAGGGCGGAACAAGCACTGCTAGAGTGGATCCCCGTCAACAGTCGTCTATGTGCTGTTCGGCTAAACGGCTCCGTAAGGACTCGGAAGGATAGGGACACACGTCGTTGCCTTTTCGTCGTTTCTGCCTAAGCTCCCACTGACTGCAGCTCAGAAGATGTGAAAGATGAATTTTACAGAAAGCTTTCTGAACTTCTTCAGAAAGCTAAACGCTCAGACATAGTACTCGTAGCAGGTGATTTTAATGCTCAGATAGGTAGCTTAAACCAAACAGAAAGGCATTTAGGTGGATATTTTAGTATTCCGACACAGCGAACAGATAATGGTGATCGTCTGCTGCAGCTATGCTCAGACAATCGTTTATTTTTAGCAAACACAAATTTTAAGCATAAGGAGAGACATCGTCTAACATGGCGACCCCCTACACCAAACCAACGATGGACTCAAATAGACCATATTGCCATCAGTCATCGTTGGAGAGGGTCGGTAGAAGATTGTCGCTCATTCTGGAGTACCTGCTTGGACTCCGACCATGCCCTAATACGGGCACGCGTCCGCTTGCGCCTCACAGGACGCAAAAAAGCCACATTAAAAAGACCCGTTAGAACTGAGTTGAGTAACGAGAAAACCAAAAGTAGGTTCCATGAACAACTGAGGTCACACTTAGGTAGTTGTGAAGACGAGGCTGACCCAGATGTTGCTTGGAAGAGCATAAAATCAGCTGTGGAAACAGCAGTGACATCTATTAGCGACTTAAACCACAGAGTTACAAAGAACCAGTGGATTTCCTCAAGGTCTGTTTTACCGATGGATTCTCGTTAACTCATCCCATCAGGCTCTGAACACGATGAAGAGCGAAAACAAATCAGATCTGGGTTAAGCAAAAGTCTAAGGAACGACCGTGAGCAGTGGTGGGCAACGAAAGCAAAAGAGATGGAAAAGGTGGCGGCTATAGGGAACACAAGACAGCTCCACAGACTAATAAAAGAAACTGGAATCAATAAGTCAAGTGTAAGTCCGACTATTTCGGAAAAAGACGACACCCTCATCTGCTCTCATCTCAGACGTTCGAAACGATGGGTGGAACATTTCAGAGAACAGTTCAGCTGGCCTTCAGCTACTCTACAACTACCCTCCATTCCCAGACAGTGTGAATGGAATATTGAAGTAGATCCCCCAACTCTTGCTGAAGTTCAAAAGGCTATAGTTAATCGGAAACGAGGAAGAAAAACTGGTCCAGATGGATTGCCTCCAGAGGTCTTTAAGGATGGTGGTCCAATTTTAGCGATTAGGTTGACTAATATTTTAGCTAAGATCTGGGAGTCAGACGTTATTCCATCTAACTGGTCACAATCACTTATCGTCCCAATATATAAGAAAGGGTCAGAATCATCCTGTGACAACCACAGAGGGATTAGTTTAACTAATATAATATCTAAAATACTAGCCTCGATAATTATCAGACGCCTAACTAAGACTCGTGAACTGCAAACACGAGAGAACCAAGCTGGCTTTAGACCTGGTCGTGGCTGCATCGACCACATATTCACCATTCGCCAGATTCTAGAACACAGGCATACTTATCGGCGTCCGACAATGGTGGTCTCTCTCGACTTAAAAGCAGCATGTGACTCGGTAGACCGCGAAATTCTGTGACAGTGTCTGTCATTGAAAGGCGTACCAAAGAAGTACATAAACCTTGTAAAGGCTCTTTACTCGAACACTACTAGTCGAGTCAGAGCTTATGGCGAACTGTCATCTACTTTTGCAACCTCAAGTGGTGTCCGTCAAGGCTGTCCACTTTCCCCATTTTTGTTTAACTTCATCATAGATCTACTGATGGAAATAACTTTCTCGTCGACTGAGTTCTCGGGTATTGATCTCCATCCAGGAGGTCCACTTATCGACTTAGAATACGCAGATGACATAGTCCTGTTTGGTGAAGACGCTGACAAAATGCAGAGTCTTCTGGTAGCACTGAGCGACAATGCCAGGATGTTTGGAATGCGCTTCTCTCCCTATAAATGCAAGTTGTTGCTTCAGGACTGGTCTGCGTCAACACCTGAACTAAGGATAGGGAGTGAAGTAGTCGAACGCGTTGACAACTCCACTTATCTTGGAAGTCTGATCAGCCCTAATGGGTTGGTATCGGACGAAATCTCAGCACGGATTCGAAAAGCTCGATTGGCTTTTGCCAACTTACGTCACCTTTGGCGGAGGCGAGATATCCGTCTATCAATAAAAGGACGAGTATACTGCGCGGCAGTCCGTTCTGTTTTAATTTACGGCAGCGAAACATGGCCATTAAGAGTAGAAGACACTCGTAAGCTATTAGTATTTGACCACAGATGCCTTAGAAATATTGCTGGCGTCTGCTGGGATCACTGGGTAAGTAATAGTGAGGTTAGACGCAGGGTATTAGGGAATGATGGTAAATCAGTTGATGAGGTTATGAATCTTCATCGACTGAGATGGTTGGGCCACGTGTTACGTATGACTGAACACCGATTACCACGACGTGCAATGTTATCCGGTATTGGAAATGGTTGGAAGAAAGTTAGGGGCGGCCAAACCAAAACGTGGCATCAGTGCTTGAAGTCACTAACTTCTAGTCTGAGCCATGTTGGTAGATGCAGACTACTTGGTTGGGGTATGCGTGACTATCGTAACCAATGGTTGGAGACTCTTGGTGACATGGCTCAGAATCGATCACAATGGCGTCGGTGTATACACTCCCTGTCTTCCCTTAAACTAAGAGATTAAAATCGCTTCATATCTTTCTTTCTACGAACCAATTCTTTCTTCTTGTACTATATCTGTATATGCAATCCTTCTCCTACATATTACTACCTTTGACCTAACCACTGCTATGAATTCGGTGTTCATCTTATTGTGCTGATGCGGTATGGCAACCTGGACTGATGCACATATGTGCCTGGTCCTACGTTGTAGCTGACTGACTGACAGACTGAGTGGAAAAGTTTAATTTCAAAGTGACTATCGATTAAATGAAGATTTAGATGGTGCGTTAAGAGCCTAAAATAACCCAACAAACTGTAGTGGCTGTTTTTTGTAACTCTGATCTCATGATCGTTGGTTTTCAAGGAATCCCAATTTTCAGTGTAAGTGGGATACAAATCACTATTTTAAGCAGACAGGCCATATAAATATCATTGTTTAAAAGAATTAATAGACGATTGCTATTGCTTCTGTGCGACGTAGTTGCACTGAGACGACCACGTGTACGTATACATTTGGATAAATGCAAATTGTCTTGGATACCAGTTATATGATAATATCAAGAGTTTATTCGAAAAAATCGCTATAACGTTAAAGGAATTGTGAGGAAGGTTCACGGGTGAACTCGAGGAAGCTCTAAGAAGCTCAGAAAGAGCCTATGATATTTCATCCAATCATGTTCTGGGAGAATATTCCGGAATCCACGCATATAACTTCCCTATCAGACAAATGCTAATAACCCATTGTATGCAGATTCGAGGACTATAATAGTGATTTCGTTCTTACTAAAAACTATAAATATCTGACAGTTTTGTACCATAATTGACACTGTTTGGAATAGCATTCCTTCCACCTGTCTTCTATCTTCTCATTTGCGACTTGAGAGTGTTCTAGCGTTCGAGAACTTCACATAAAGTAACTACCCCAGTAGTAGCAATAATTATAATAAATGGTAGTTTACTTAGGTTCAAATAGCACATTCAACACAGCATGATTAGGTGTCATTTACACTATAAATATCTAAATCATAAATCCACCTTGTGAAAATAGAGGAGACAGCTGTTAACGTGAATAGAATAAATACGAATTAATGCGATTAAAAATGGAGAGTTTTGTACTAGGTCATTAAAATAAGGACGATGAGTTACTTACAGTTTAAACGAATATTTCAGTGAAGAGAACTTTATTTGTTAAATCTTTGACTTTCAAGAAACTATTCAATCGCATATGTACGAAATATTTACTGCGGTGAAAAGAGTGCTTGATGGTATGAATGCTTATAGTGAGTGCGATTCGCTCGTATTAACAAATAAAATGTATTACTCAGAGAATCATTCAAACCGATTTGACAAGATAAGAATACCATAGAATGAAGATCAAAGACACAACGATTAAGTGTAAAACTATGGTGGGATGGTTTTCCTAAGTGGGCTACTGTAAGAATGACAGTTGATTAGAGATAAGATACCAAATTTAAAAATTCTACTTGAGAATGTTATAATGAAATGAATTTACGAAGAAAAGACTTTATGTGACTGTTATGTTTGAAGAGATTACGAGTTCACTTAGTCTGAGAACGGAACGAACACTCTGTGACATGATGACAGATAGGCTGGTTATTCCGATGCGTCCCAACCCGCTAACTAGAGAGAGAAGTCCATGGTCAGAATTAGGAAATATATTCCACAAGCAGCCAGGAGCACGAACAGCAACGACGACCCTAGTCGAAAATACACTCATATATATATATATATATATATATATATATATATATATTGATTTGTACATTCATTTTGATTAATCATTAGAATGAAAATATTTAGTTATTCCATGTTGTATATTCATGCTGAACATAATTCATGTAAATTGAATACAAGAATATTGTATATTATACAGAATAAAATATTATACGGGTAAACAACTATACTAAATAATTATCACATTAAATGAAAATGGAATTAATATTGAACAAAAATCATAATAAATAAATTTATCTCAATTTGACTTTTCATCCCGTTAGATCAGTGACTTAAAGACGAAAAAGGACAAAAATAAACATCTGAAAAGATACACAGTTATGGAGGAATATTAGTTCTATCATAGAATAAACTATCGTATAAACTGTTTCTAAATGCACAAATCTAAGTTTAAAGTGCATATAGCCAATGTTTATGCGGTCCATAGATGTATGTGTAAAATAAATTGACTAGCCATTCTTATTGATGTCTAAGTCTCACGAGCCAAAAGTCGAATATGAGGCAAAATCAAGTGTTTTTAAAAATGAATCAGTTTATTTTTTATGACGAAATTGCATGAAATCTAAAATACGTTTTCAAAACAATCAAAACTTTAGTGAAAACAGACAAAATATCACAATGAACTTAATAGTAGATTCAAGAGATGATCTTACAGGTAAAACGTCTCATTCCACACAGGATTTAGTGTAGATCGACAGACTTTTGTTTTCAGCTTGGATTTACCACCCTCGTCACTGGGCAGCAGTTTGATTTTCACATACGGATCTGCTAGACCATTTGGATCCATTGGAACAAGATTTTTAGCTTCGAAAACTATAATTAAAGAAAAAGAAAAATATATTCCAAATATATGTCCATAGTGTGAAGTGTCAAAATGAAAACTGTTACTCAAACTTTTTACTTCATTCTTAGAAATGCTTTAGTACTCAAATAAAATAATCCAACAAAGTCCCGCTGAAGATTATCGTACGCCTCGATGAACCAGTACTAAATTTGAAATTCTTAGTCGTTAGTATCAGGTCTAAGGTTCATGTTTCATTGGAGATAAAAAGAGTAGAAATAAATGCTTTTGGTTTTTTATGGGGATTCAATCGACAAAACCATACAATAAAAGTATTTGCGAATCCTTAAACTAGAGTTCCAAATCAGAGAGCAGACAGTTCGAAAATTTCTCGGGACTAAGATCATGTAGTTAAATGTAAAAATTTACACGTCCTGATCGGAAAAGAATAGCTGTTACTAATATATGCAAATAACAGCAGTTTACAAGAAAAATATGATATGAATATGTCTCGTCAATCTTTAAGACATATAGTTTGTGTCAGGTAAAGTGATATTAATAATATATGGTTCTAAACAAAAAGTGAATGTGAATCAGGTGCTCTAGCCACTAAGCCATTGTTCTACATGTCTTACACTAAACAGAAAACAAATTTGTAGTATTGTTTTTATAATTAAAAGTGAGCTGTTTTTATTCAGCTCTAATAACAGTATTAAAAATCTATTTGATTAGAGAGAAATGGATAGACCAATAAATGTTCATTAAATAGTTTGCATGAAAAGATTATGGATATCTTTGATAACAGTGTGATCGAACGAACTATAGTTTAATTCACATGATGAACATAAAAGTTGATACTGTTCTTGCAAGTCACAGATTTATTTAAACGAAATAGTTGGGAGACATTTTGATACTAGTCAGTTTCGGAATTAACTGCATCGTGTTGAACTCTCTAAAAATATAAGAAGGAAAAAAACATATTTGTGGTCAGATCTTGCTAAGTTTCTTATCACCGATATAAATGCAAATAAAAATTTTCATTCACACTGTTATGACGTTTTCATTTCAACTGATACAACGTGGCCATGCAAAAGAATGTTGACACCATATTTTAAAACTTGATATTAACTGACTTTTGAAGAAGATTGCCCTCTATGAAAAATAATGATCAGAGTTGAAGATAGCATATAAATATTCAAAATGAAAAGGTATCTAGATAGCTTTTCAATTAAATTCGGTGGTTTATTAAGTTATCCAGATTTCTATACACTCGTTGATAATGAACAATAGTAAAAGAGATTCTGTGACTTAATTATTGAAAACTTAGTAACTGTTTTCTGTAACAAAAACTAGTTTGATGTTTTCACATATTTTTCGACGAACCAGCTAGTTATCCTCAGTTGATAGAGTAAAATAAATCAGACAAACATTCAATATTATAAATTAGGCGGTTTCATGATTAGTAAACATAAAAATGTGATTCTCGCAATACTGCCTACAGGGAAATGATAACAGATAGACAAATACATAAATATATATATATATATGCATATAGTAGCAATAAAGAGAGCAGATTTATAATTGTTCATATTATATCTTCATTTCATATTAATATAAAAACCAGAAATAGAAAAGACGGCAAACAACAGTTAAAATAATCAAATTAACAATAGTATCGAATTAAAACAAACAACCTAAAGGACTGAGAAAACAGATAATGAGAAATATATATCATTAGACTGTTGAAAAATTCAAAGGAAACCCAGAACAAATGAATTCGTCCCACTGTAAGTAATTTAAAGCATCAAAGCAATAATTAGATGTACGCGGTGTATTCAAACTCATCCCAAATGTTGATAGGCGATTTTTCAACCCTTCAGTTATTTATTAGCAGTCTAAAAATTAGCAACTTGTCATTCCATTGTCTGGTGCATCAGTATAAATAATAACATAAATAGCTGTTGTTTAATGAGTTTAAGTGACCAATAGGCATCCTCAAGAAGTTTCATCTTGTCCATTTAGATACACCAGACACATATCATATTACGACCGCTAAAACTCGGGCGCAGTTATTCAGATAGTCGAATTCCATAAATAAACTAGTTTTTGAGTTGTAAAAACAGACACAGAGATTTTTATTACCGTAAATAATTGTAACTCTACCTGTAGCCCTTCAAGAGTTACTGCCGATCCAAAGCCCGGGTAAAGGAGGAGGGTTGGTCCTGCTAAAAAACGCCAACCTGATTAAACAAATTAAAGCATTTGAACTCTGCCCTGGGAGTTGAAAGAAGAATTATGACGCCTCGTGATGAAAGCCAAGATTCTTCGGAAGTCACGAAGCCGATGCCCCTTCTAAAAACTAGAGCAACAATTTACGTAGGTACATAGAACGTCCGGACAAAGTGCAGGATCGCGATGACCAGTCAAATAGTTACGGAAATGAGGAGATACAACTCGGCAGTACTCCGAATCGGCGAAACTCATTGGACCTAAGCTGTACAGCAAGGGCTAGATATGGGAGAGATGCTTCTGTACTCCGGTCACGAAGAGGAAAATGCTCCACACACTCAGGGAGTTGCTTTGATGCTGTTCAAAGAATCACGTAATGAACTTATGGGATGAGAATCTCACGGATCTAGGATCATCAAAGCATTCTTCGAAACAAAGAAGGAGGGAATCACGATGAAGCTATTCATTATTATGCACCCAACAATGATATTATTCAACAACTTGGTTATAAGTGGCACAATATTCCCACACAAAGCTATATGGGTCTCACCAGACCACACCATAGAGAACCAAGTAGATCATATCTTCATCAATAAAAAATTCAAAAGGCCAATGGAAGATGTGAGAACCAAGAGAGGAGCTGACATAGCTTCAGATCACCACCTGGTGCTTGCCAAGATGAAACTGAAGCTAAAGGAACAATGGACAACTAGACAAACAGCATTAGAAAGGTTCAATACAGCCTTACTTCGAGGTACTGACAAACTCACTGATTTCAAGGTAGCTTTTAGCAACAGATTCCAAGCATTACATTATCTACTGGAAGAAGAAGAAACTACTGGAAAGAGATCAAAGAGGCATTAACTTAAACGTGCTGGAAGGTGCTGGGCCGCAACAAGCATTATCATAAGGAATAGACCTCTATCGAAAGGAAGAACAAAAAGACAGCAATTAAAAACAGCCGGACAAGAAAAAAGAAATTCAAGGCACAAGCCGAATAAGTTGAAGCAAACAAGCAGGTGAAGAGGATCATCAGAGTCGAAAGACAGAGATACGTAGAAGACTTAGCAACGACAGGGAAAAGGCTGAAAGAGAAGGAGATATGAGAGAGCTATATGACACAACGAAGAAACTAGCAGGGAAATATTGGAAACCAGAGAGACCGGTCAAGGACAAAGAAGGCAAGACAATCACTGAGATTCGAGAACAGGGGAACAGATGGGTAGAATACTTCGAAAAGCTATTAAATAGGCCAGTTTCCTTGAATCCACCGGACATTGAAGCAACACCTACGGACTTTTCAATTGATGTCACTCCACCAACGATAGGTGAAATCAGGTTGGCTGTCAAATAAATCAAGAGCGACAAAGCGGCGGGACCAGACAACAGTCCAGCAGAGGCACTGAAAACAGACGTAGCAGTAACTGCAAAGATACTTCACATTCTCTTCAGCAAGATTTGGGATGAAGAACAAGTACCAACAGACTGGAAAGAAGGACACCTCATCAAGATACCAAAGAAAAGAGATCTGAGCAAATGTGATAACTACAGAGGCATCACACTACTGTCAGTACCAGGAAATGTTTTCAACAGTGTTGCTGAACCAAATGAAAGACTCAGTAAACGCACAACTGCGTCACAAGGCAACCCCTCACTTAGAATCCTCAAGGCTAAAGGAGAAGAGGAAGATCAAAGAACACATTATGCCGAGAAATGGAGACAGACATGAGAAGAATGAACAACAATTGGATAGAACTAGGAAGGAAGACCCACGACAGAGTGGGTTGGAGAATGTTGGTCGATGGCCTATGCCCCATTGTGAGCAACAGGTGCAAGTAAGTAAGTAATATATATTTTTGTAAATAAACTGTGAAAGTAGGATTAATAATATTATGAGAAATACTACTGTGCCGAGATCTAAAAGAGATGATTACGTCAAGCACTTGAAGGTGACTCAAGTATTAATATATCGAAACAGAGGACTAATTAGGCTAGCGGTCAAACTTAGTAATCATAAAACTTTATTATTAATAAAAACTCAGCATTCCAACTTCATAAAAAATGCAAAATGCATAGATAGGATTGGGTCACATTCCACTGTTTCGCAATTTACACGTACATGGTGATATGCAAACATAATTAGCAACAATCACAACTTACAAATAAATACATAGATTGAACAATTTTGAATTAAAATAAATCAAGAGAAAAATAAGGTTATGTGTGGCATACTAAAAAACAAGTTTTAAATGAAGATGACTAGAGATATAAATATCTTGCTCACGAACGGACATTCAGAGTAATAGTTTTATTCTAGATTTGTGAAGCAGTGGCTCAGCGGTCACAGGGTAGTATTGCTGCCTTCCACATAAACAGAATTTCCAAGTCAAGTACATAAAACTTGTACTTATGAAATGATTTCCAGAATTATATTTGTACAAGACAAAACCTTTATATTTATGGACTTTATTCTTTAAATTTGTATCTCTGATATTTGTATGGTAGAATACATATGAAGATCAAAATAAAATTTGATTAGACTTCGTTCATGATCTGAATGAACAAACAAAGTAGAACCTGAAGAGAATTTATCGAAAAGAATATTCTTCGTTCAAAGACTAGTCTTTTAATATGACGATTAAACAAAGTTCTGTTAATAACTATGTAGAAGATATTAGATATAGAATTATATTTGCTTTAATCTTAGTGACTTCATTATCGATTATGTCTGTTTTTTGATGATCTAAACTAGTGAACCATATTCATTTTGCACATAATCATACGCAGGTGATATAATACCATT